TGTGAGGGAAAGAATTACAAATGAATATGTACTAAATAGAGGAGATAAGGAAAGGACTAGGTAAGTGGAGCTGGGACAAAACATGTCCTCACAGACATGGAGTCTGTGTAGAAGCTTTAATTCCAGATTTCCACAAACCACACCTACACAGACCACAGACCTCAACTCAGCAAGACTAGCCCCAACACATACATATAGGAAATAGTTTACGCCAAATTTCCCATCCTCTTAATGATACTAAAGCATCTCTTTGCAGCTAGGAAGTGAAAATCCTGAGAGGAGAGTAATATTTCAACACACTCAGAAGAAAGAATGAGACCAACATTAGAGTAAAAAGTCTAGAATTTCAGGAAAAAGCCCTGTGCAGGGTGGTAGAAAGAGCTGCTTAGGACACATCTGTGTGACATGGGTAGTTTACTTAGCACTTCGGAAGGTCAGTTCTCTCAGTCAGAAATGGCAGTAAGGGCCAGAAGCTTCTAGCAGCCTATCCAATATACAAGTTCCTCCCTCTTCCTTACTAGTGGAATCTCTGTCTTGTTGAAGATAGAAAATGCTCCGCTAAAAATAGATTTCCCATCTTCTTGGACAATTAAGGATGAGGTCACAGTTTAGAAATGACTGAACAGGGTTTTTGGGAAGTCTCTTTAAAGGAAACTGATTCAACTAGAAGGTGTGTCATTCTGTCTTTCAGCTTCCTTATTCCTTCTTCCACCTGGAACATGAATGTGATGGTTGGAACTATGGTGGCTATCCTGCAATAACAAGGCAATCATGACTAGAAGTCATATACTAAATGTGATGAACCAAGAGATGGAGAAGCCTGGATATCTGGTGGGTATGGAGCTGGCCTGGGACTGACTCCTTTTGCACTTACATCTAATGTGTGAGAAAGCTCTTTTCTTGTTTAATCCATCACTTTTCTTGTCTCTTTTACTAGAAATCAATTGCAGTCACCACTTTACAAAATTGTTATGTTCATTAAATTAAACAGTATTTACAAAGAGGCCATATGTGTTCTATTATACTTTATATATCATTCACAAAAGACTTAATAATGGAATAAATGAGTAATGTTTAGAACATTAATTTAGATAAAATTGTCATCTTAGTTTTTTTTTTTTTTTTTGGCATACATTTGAAGTTGACCAGTATTTCAAAATACTATAACTCCCTATGTGCCTGTCATGTATCATTCTTGTTCAACTGCCTGGTGTGTTCTAGTCAGGGTGTATGTGAGCTCACTCTTT